GGACTGCAAGGAGATCCAACCAGTCCATCCTAAAGGAGATCAGTCCTGGATGTTCATTGGAAGGACTGATGTTGAAGCTGAAACTCCAATACTTTGGCCACCTGATGTGAAGAAATGACTCATTAGAAAACAGCCTGATGCTAGGAAAGATTGAAGGCAGGAGGAGAAGGGGATGATAGAGGATGAGATGGTTGGATGGCATGACGGACTCAATGGACACAAGTTTGGGTAAACTCTGGGAGTTGGTGATGGGCAGGGAGGCCTGGCTTGCTACAGTCCATGGGGTCCCAAAGAGTCCAACAAGACTGAGTGACTGAACTGAATTGATATTCCTTCTCCCTGGGGAAACACACTTTCGAATAATCTAGCACAAGACTGACGTCAGTATACTGTGAAGAGGTCCACGGCTCTACTTTCTAGTTGTATGACTTGCACAAAGTTGCTTGCTTCCTTAACCCTCAGTTTCCTCATCTGCAAAGTGGTGATATTGCATAATAAGAGTTTGATGAGCACTGAATGACGCAGGGCACCTAGCATGTTTAGCATAGTGCCTGGAACATGGAGAGCAGCCAATTGATGTGAGCTGCTATTAACATTATGAATATTATCAGTATCCTTTTTTACCTAACCTAATCCAGGGATTTAACCAGATAAAGAGGGTGAAATTGCAAAGGATACCATTCCAGGAAAAACCTTATGGAGAGGTTTAATAGGATATAAAGAATATATTGGATGCTCTGTATGATCACAAAAAGATTAGTTGGTAAAGGCATATGAATCCCCCCATGCTCAGAGAACCAGAGAGTTGCCTTTAGTACCTTATGATTGATACTAAACTGCCTGAGAGTAAATTGATTCCAGAGAAAGTTACATGACAGCAATATGGGAAAAAAGTACAGAGGAGGTTAAAACAATTTGCAAACTTGTGAGAAGAGACAACAAAAGAACACAAGATAATAAGAAAATCATGACATCTCCTGAAATAGACACTATTATCACACCTATTTTACCTACAAGAAGATGGAGGCAGAGAGGACTTAGTAACCTGATGGTCACAGTCATAATCAAAAAGAAACTTTAACAGCTTAGTAGAAATTTACAGGAAAAAAAAAAAAGACCTAGATGGTTCTATTAAGAACATAGCACAGAAATAGAGGCTTAGGTACAAATGACCTGAGCATGTGGAACAAAAAAGTTTATAATCACCAAGTTGTCTTTTCAAAATGTCCCCCTATTATGAAATATCAGGATTTTGCATTTCAGCATTATGGAACTATTGTATTTAGTTATATTTGCTTCCCACATTTTGCATTAAGTTTCTTGGAAATGTTATTCACTTTCCTGAGGGGAGAAGATGCCTGAAAGAGGCAAATTATTCTTTCTGCAACAGGACCTAAACATCCCTTCTCTCTCAGCCTTGACCTCCAAGATCCTAAGGACCTCCTCCCAGCAGCTAACACCAGGGCAGGCTTTGGTTCAAAGAGACTGAGTCTGTATTGTAAGAAAAGAAGAGGAACAGCCACTAAAAATGTTTGGTTGATTTAACAAGGCAGTTTGTACCTTCTGGAATGTACAAGTTGTTAATAAATTGCATTTCTTACCTTTTTATAGAGTACATTCCTAGTGTGGTGTTTTGGTTTATGTTTTATGATAGGTGCTATAGTTTCAGCATCTGAATATGGATTTCATTAATCCTTAATTTGTGCCTCCACCAGAAGGAATTGCGTCTTCTAGACTTTGCAAACAGTGCCCTCTCCTGGATGAAGTAACACCTGCTTTTCTGATCTGCAAAACTTAGAGACAAGGACATGAATGCTAAAATACAGGAAAGGCTCTGGAGACCCCCATATATGGGATTTCTGGTCTCTCTCAGGGATGCAAAGAGATGGTACCCAGGCCCAGTTCCGTCCCAGTGAAAGGTGAGAGCCCTGGACTTGCATGACTATAAAGAAAAAGAAAAGAAAGAAAAGCCGAGGACCTGAGGATATGATCACTGGTCTGGATCCAGAAGTCTAAACATCTGACAATGAGTTGGATGGATGAAATTAATCTCACTTCAGATTGCTGCAGGAACCCAAACAGAACCTTGATGGGCTTAATGAAAAAAAATGTCACATACTTAATGCTTAGAATGACTCCTGAAAATCAGATCTTATTCATCTACTAAATTTGTTTAACTTCACCAAAGCAACTGAGTTGGACTGCATTTAAAGGATGCTTTTTGAAGCTGTTGAGAGCTTGAAGAAACACTGGTTTCTCTAAAAAAGAATAGAGAAGGGGTTTGTGATCACTGGTGCCATTCATCAATATTTCCCATTCTCCTTCTGGACAAGGATAAGGACGACACTTTCTGTTCCTCCACGAATTCAGATGTGGCCAGGTGGTTTGCTGTAGCCAATCAAGTGTGAGTGAAGGTTATGCCTTGAAGAATTGGTACAAGGTTTACCACCTTTCCTTCTCTTTTCCACCATAGGGTGGACAAACTATAGCCCACAGCCCAAATCCAGCCCACAGCCAATTTTTATAAATAAAGCTTTATTGGGACACAGTCATGCCCATTCTTTTACACACAGTCTATGGCTGCTTGCTGGCTGCAAAACAGAGTTGAGTAGCTGCCACAGAGACCATATGGCCTGAAAAACTGAAAATATTTACCCTCTGGCCCTTTACAGAAAAAGTCTGTGAACCTATGCTCTCAACAGCGGGGGGACCCTGAAAGAAAACATCATGGAGCACAGCTCATGCTGGACAAGACTGACACGTAGCAACACAGCACGAGAATGAAATTAACCCTCCCTGTTTTAAGCCACTGAGCTTTTGAAGTGGTTTTGCTGCCCCAGCATAACAGATCTAACAAAAATAGCAAAAGAGAATGTATACCCAGAATGTAAAATACCTTGAAAGAACCTCTCCAAATACTAATGATGGAGAATATGCAAATTCAACGTCATTGAGATTATTCTTTTAACCAGGTGGGGAATAAGCATGATCCCCACATGCAAATGAGGCTGTTATCAGGTAAGCCAGACAAGTGTGATACTTTTCCCCCTAAAATCAAAATGAATTAATTTCTGTATCTAAGGAAGGCCAGCCAGCTCTAATCAGTCACTGGTTTGTTTTATGAGAGGAGTAAAGAGGCTCATTACAGCAAATCCCAGGCATGTTGATAAATTCCCAATCTTGGGCCCTCATAAAACTCAGAAACACACTTTCCATTGCCTTCCACACTTCTTCTGAATCACTGAGCTAGAGGCAGCTGCCTGATTTGTGACCTTCAGCCATCCGCCATCTCTCGTAGATCATTTTCACCGAATAGAGTCTTAAAATTGTCATCATTTTCTTTACATCGACATTTGAAAGAAATGTTAGATTGATCCACCACTGGGTTAGCTATTTTGCAACTTCTCCCATATGGTTATGGAAGTCGTTGTAAATAAATGTAGCTTTTCTGGACATTTTAAATGGTAGCAATCACAACAATTTTAGCAACACAGAGAGGAAGGGAGGAGAGAGAAAAAGAAAACTGGAGAAAATGGTCCAGGGGCAACACACACCACCCCTAGAGCGCTGGAGCAGAGCTTTTCCCAGCTCCCTCTGACTGAAAGCTGTAACCACTGAGCAGCCAGGAGCTTGGAGGAAAAGGAGCACTGCCTGTCTATGCTTTCCATCAGCCGTGACGTCACATCCGGCTTAATCTAAACCCTCCTGTGTCCCAAGGGAGGACACAGAGCACTGAAGAAGCGTGGCTCCTTATTAACCCCCTAGCAGCTTAGAGGTGGTTCCACTGAACCCTGGCTGAAAGAGATAGCAGGTACCCCACAAGGTCATGGCAGATGAGTTGGGAGATTCCATCAGAAAGACATCTGTGGAGCTAGGGCTCAATTCATCTGAACCTAGGAGTGGGACAAAGGGGATGGCAGGAGTGATGTACTCTGTCTCAGGGATCAGCCTCCAGGCATCCTGTAAAATGGCTCCATCCCCAGACATTGGATTTGTGCTGCTCATAACTGCTTCATCCAAATTCAGTTCAGAATGGAAATTCTCCTAACTAATACAGAGCTTCATGCTCCCTCAGGCTGTGACTTGTGTTCTCTATGTATCCAAAAACTAAGGAGAAAAGAAAGGCAGCGTCTTTTCCCTTTTACCATTAATGCCAGCCTTCTTATGAGCCTGTCTGACTCCTTCCAATCTATTCCAGGACAATAAGTAGAAATAAGCTTCCCAACCCTTTAGAGCAGGTAGGAACCATAAGAATGGAAATAGAGCTGGAGGCCTCAGCTGAAGTGGTTGAACTGAGACTGGGATTCTGGTTTTGTCAATTGCCTGTAGTTGCTTGTTAAGTTCACCAGTAATTTGCAATTAGGGCAGCTGCTGAACACACGAAAAACAAAAGTTCAAAACGGCCTTACTAAATTAAAGGTGAGACCCAAAGGCACCAGCAAATGAAGGTTAATAGAGGGCTCCTACTGCATCTCAGATTAAGGGAAAAACAGCAAAACTACCCAAGTACAAATAGCATGTGGAAGTACTGGCCATGAGCGTGAATGGCAGAGGAAGATCTCAAGGTCTTAGTGGACAAGTTCACTGAGCCAGAAATGTAAGAGAAATGCTAAATAAGAATATAAAAGACAGCAATTATGAAATAATCTTCATTAACGCATGTATTCTTTTATTCAACAAACTTTACTGAATGTCTACTATGTGTCATGCACTGTGCTAGTATCCAGGGCAAGATTCAACAAACCACAGCCCGCAAGTCAAATCTGACCTACTATTTGTTTTTGCATGGCCCTTGAGCTAAGAATGATTTTCACATTTCTATAATGCAAAATGAAAAAACAGTATTAGCATTTCAGAGACAACAGCTATTCAAAGAAGATAGGACATAATCTCTTGGCCTGCAATGGCTAAAGTATTGCTATCTGTCTCTTTTTAGGGAAAAAGAGGGTTGCCAACCCCCTAATCTAGGGGTAAAAAGTTCAATAAGAAATAACCCTTACCCTCAAGGAACTCACAGTTTGGTATGAACTTCATAAACAGTATCAGTGCACCTTGTCCTTTCCTGGCTTCACAACCTAGAAGCAAGATAGAAAATTTAAAGGAAGCTCATGGAAAGTTATAAAGGTTAATAAAAGAATGGGAAGAAGAATTTATGAGAAAATTTTAAAGGAATTTGGATTATTTATTCTCAAGAAAAGGAGGCTATGGGGATACTTAAGAATAGCCTTCAAATATTTGAAGAGATATTACTAAGCAAAAGGTTTTTCCATTATGGACATAAAGATTAACAGAATGTAGGCTAAAATTTTTTATTATAGAAATGGAAGGATTTCCTGGAAGGCTTTTAAACTTCTACAATGAATTGAGAAATCCATTTTCTTTAATCTTCTAAAACTAGTGTCTTTTCTCATCTGTCTGGAGCTGTTAAATGTTTGAGTGTTGTCTGAGCTAAACGTAGAGGTGGAGTAAATGTCATAAGTCCAACCCAGGTCTCTGATTCTTCCATTCAGAACTTGGGGGTCTTCAGAAGGAGAAAGTCTTTTTCCCCCCTGGGTCTCAATTTTCCCCTCATGCAAAATGAGAGCCTAACATGCTCTGAGTCTGTGACTTCCTGGCCAGAAACTCTGATATGGTCCAGCAGCTGAGGAAGACAAAGGAGCTTCAGGGATCTCCTTTTATGAGAGAGGAGGCAACAGAAGCTGTTTCATTCTTGACACGAATAAAGAAACCCAGACTCAGCATCTGTTTTAATGCAAACATAACTACTAGTTGCAAAAAAAGAACATATTTACTAGACAGAAAAGACCAAAGAAATTTTGAACAAATGATGAAAGACTGTACAAGCATAAACAGGGTAATGTCAAGGAGGCATACACAAAGAAAATTATAAAGTAAGAAGATAGAAGCAAGAACTGACACTCCACAATCCCAGTCAATGCGATGGGGTCATAGGCTCCTCCTTCGAAGATGAACTCTTAGGTAAGACCTAAGTTCAAACTTCTACTACATGCGGTTTACAAGAGAGCCACTGAAAACCAAATGGCACACAAGTGTAAAAAATACAGGGTTTAATATGGAACTTGGTTCATGATAGGCATGCTTAAGTCGTTAAGGGTAAAGCATACGAAGGCTGCAACTGACCATGGAATTCATCAAAAAATAAAGTAAGATGGACAGATGTTTACATAGAGAGATGGATGGACAGATATGTGAAAAAGTAAATATAGGAATATATTAAATGTAGAAGCTATCCCTGATTGGGAAGATCCCTTGGAGCAGGGCATGGCAACCCACTTTAGTATTCTTTGCCTGGAGAATCCCATGGACAGAGGAGCCTGGTGGACTACAGTCTATAGGTTGGAAGAGTTGGATATGACTGAGCGACTAAGCACAGAACAGCACAGGAGGTAAATATATAGATGCTTACCGAACAATTCTGTATGTCTGAACTTTTTTATACTAAAAAACTCAGGGGGGAAAGTGACTGGCCAAAAATAAACAAGTATAAAGAGTGAGATTTCATTTTTTGTTGATTCTATCGATGCATAAAGAAAAAGAAAGCTCTTTAAAATAAGTGATATCTGAAGTAGGCAGAATTTGAGTTATTTGGGCTTCTTTGCCCTGCTCTTTTTATAGCTTTGATAATAATTTCCAGGCCCACACTAGGAGGTCAACTTCCTTTAATGTGCTCTGTGCTTCTGTCCAAATATGACCATCCCTTGCTTTTTGGGGAAGATCATAAAGAACCACAGTTTAAAGATAGATTTTAGGAAATGGTGTTATTAAAGGCTTCCTTATGCTGATTTACATCTAGAACTCTCCATCAGTAGAAGGACATCGGTCTTAGAATCATAGAGTGTGATGTCATCCCAGTTTCATCACACTATAGCCATGGGCATGTTAATTAAACACTGGTCTTTGGTTAAAGAGAGATATAACATTGGATATGTTATCTGATACGACATAACTATACCTCCACTCAGGTTTCTAATAAGCACCTTACACTTAATATGTTAAAACCAGCACTCCTGATTTTTCACCTCAATCCTGTTTCTCTTATGGTAGTGGTTTAGTCACTAAGTTGTGTACGACTCCTGCAATGCCATGGAGAGTAGCCTGCTAGGCTCCTCTGTCCATGGGATTCTCCAGGCAAGTCTACTGCAGTGATTTTTCCACTTCCTTCTCCTGGCGATCTTCCCAACCCAGGAATCAAACCTGGGTCTCCTGCACTGCAGGCAGATTCTTTACCAACTGAGCTATAAGCCTCCCCTACTTCAAATGTGGAAGTATCTCAGTCCAAAATCCTTGGAGTCACCTCTTTTCTCTTTCTCTCATACTCCATTTATGATGCAAATCCTTCAATAGATTGTGGCTCAACCTTCAATAGATAACCAGAATCAGATTGATTTCATCACATCCAATGCTACATCTCTGGTGCCAACCACTACGGTTTCTTTTCTGTATTATTGCAACAGCCCTGGAACTGGCCTCAAACCTTAGGCCCCTCAGATTAGCCTCAACACAGTAGCCAGACTGGTCTCTTAAAATTATATCTAATCATGTCACTTCTCTGCTCAGAATTCTTCAGCGGCCCCCATCTCAATCAGTTAGTTCAGTCACTCAGTCGTGCCCAACTCTTTGTGACCCCATGGACTGCAGCATACCAGGCCCCCCTGTCCATCACCAACTCCCAGAGTTTACTCAAAATCATGTCCATAGAGTTGGTGATGCCATCCGACCATCTCATCCTCTGTCATCCCCTTCTCCTCCTGCCTTCAATCTTTCCCAGCATCAGGGTCTTTTCAAATGAGTCAGCTCTTCGCATCAGGTGGCCAAAGTATTGGAGTTTCAGCTTCAGCATCAGTTCTTCCAATGAACACCCAGGACTGATCTCCTTTAGGATGGACTGGTTGGATCTTCTTGCAGTCCAAGGGACTCTCAAGAGTGTTCTCCAACACCACAGTTCAAAAGCATCAATTCTTCGGTGCTCAGCTTTCTTTATAGTTCAACTCTCACATCCATACATTACTGGAAAAACCATAGCCTTGACTAGACAGACCTTTGTTGGCTAAGTCATATCTCTGTTTTTTAATATGCTATCTAGGTTGGTCATAACTTTTCTTCCAAGGAGAAAGTATCTTTTACTTTCATGGCTAAAGTAACCATTTGGAGTGATTTTGAAGCCCCAAAAATAAAAGTCTGTCACTGTTTCCACTGTTTCCCCATCTATTTGCCATGAACTGATGGGACCAGATGCCATGAACTGAGTTTTCTGAATGTTGAGTTTTAAGCCAACTCTTTCACTCTCCTCTTTCACTTTCATCAACAGGCTCTTTAGTTCTTCTTTGCTTTCTGCCAAAAGGGTGGTGTCATCTGCATATCTGAGGTTATTGATATTTCTCCCGGCAATCTTGATTCCAGCTTGTGCTTC